TGTGTGTGTGTGTGTGTGTGTGTGTGTGTGTGTGTGTGTGTGTGTGTGTGTGTGTGTGTGTGTGTGTGTGTGTGTGTGTGTGTGTGTGTGTGTGTGTGTGTGTGTGTGTGTGTGTGTGTGTGTGTGTGTGTGTGTGTGTGTATGTGTGTGTGTGTGTGTGTGTGTGTGTGTGTGTGTGTGTGTGTGTGTGTGTGTGTGTGTGTGTGTGTGTGTGTGTGTGTGTGTGTGTGTGTGTGTGTGTGTGTTTTATCACATCTTGTCGTTACCAGTTTATTCACCCTCTTTCGTCTAAGTCGTCAAGACGAGAAATCGCAATTATATATAAGGCAACAGGTTAAGCTTGGTCCACACAGCATGTCCTTTAACCCAGGCGTCTGAGAGGAGCGTTGGCGGCGCTGCTGAGGGGACTACGGTCTGCAGCTAATCAAGTAACTAATTATGATAGAAGGTTCGTATCCCAACCTCCCTCACTCTCCCCCTACTGGACGGCTGCACCAGCGGCTCGCTAGTGCCTCGCCAACGAAAGGCAGACCAAGCTTAGACCTGCCACGACCCTACCTTCCTACCTACCCGTCTCTCTCTCTCTCTCTCTCTCTCTCTCTCTCTCTCTCTCTCTCTCTCTCTCTCTCTCTCTCTCTCTCTCTCTCTCTCTCTCTCTCTCTCTCACTGAGGGTGTTATTGACTTTAGAGCGCTCCTGGCGTTTCAACAGCTCACTGAACGCATTTAAAGATTTGTCAGTAATGAGATCACTCGCAGGGGGACTATTTTAGAGTCATATGCTTCAAAGTTTTCTTCACTATAGCCTCTCTCCTGCATCTCTTCGGAGCTACATACAGTTTCTTTTTAAACGAGAGCTATAGTAAGGGGTGAGTTTTATAACCTGCAGTGAGAGGGGAGGATAGTTTTCAGTCCCTCCGTTGGTCTCCCCATCCCAGAACCCCAAGAAATGTGAGGCTCGACCACCGGCTCAGAGAAGCGGCAACCCCGGTCATTTGGCTTTGTGAATTTGTGGTGGTGGCGACCCCGGCATCTGCGAGCGGCGACCTGTGGTCCGGTTGATTACCTCCGGACTTGTAACGGGGGAGATCAGACGTGCTTACTCAGAATTATGTTTAGGATTCATTAGCTGCCGACGAATTGGATCAGAGGACACTTTTGGTTGGGGAAATATGTGCTTTATTTCATAATATGTTTTTGTTTGAGGTCGTTCTTTGCGTCGGGGATTGTATTCACGAACTTATGTAGCACTTATGTATTTTGTTTCATATTCGGTGGAATTTGATACGTTGCTTTAAATATTAATTCCGAAATGTTGTTCAGAATCAAGATATCTGACCGACCGAACGCAGAGAGGGGAAATTTTCGCTGGCGACAATTCGCTCGTAATTAGACCAGAAATTTAATGCCACATAAATTGGATGATAAAGTCCCCTTTTGGGGTCTATTAGGCTTGTTAGCAGGTCCTGTTGCATGCAAGGACGGCTCGAGTGTTTGGGAGATTTCACTTTCACGAGGATATACTAATATTTGTCCTCCCTGTTCCCAGGGAGTGAACTTCTCTCATGAAATGTTCAGGAATTAGCGTCTCGTGGTGTTCTGTTTCCGGAAGCACAACATAACTCTGTATTAAACAATGGGCATGAACCCTCCTTTAGCAAATACTAAATAATGATTTCACCGTTAAGAAATAATTGATGATCTCTTTCCCCTCGCCCTCAAGTGTTAACTAATTCTTGCTAACTCTTGCCTTCAAGATGTACCTCGTGCTCACAACGGCCCGCCCCCGGACTAGTGAAATGCCCAGTCCGTCCTCCTAAGGTTACACAACATCAAGAAAACGGTCAATTTAAAGTATCCTCTCCTAACCTACCAGAGGACCCAAAACAGAAAACGGGAGAGTACGTCACTTTCGCCAATCGCTTCGATGTTCCATTACGAACTTTCTTTTTGGCCTTAGGTAACGCATACGTCCGAAACAAGACGTTCTTTGTAGGAGGAGAGGTTGTACTACCCCTCCTTCGTATTAATTTAGCTCCCACTCTTCCTCCAGTATTAGTACTCGCTTCTCCCCCCATATTAACTAGTGCACTCCCCCCCTTCCCTCTAATCTAACTATAGCCTCCACCCCCCCCCAGGAATTAGTTAATGCTTCTGCCCCCCCCCCCACTGAATAGCACAGAAGTGGCACTTCCCCTTGTATAGACTTGTCTCTTCACCTCTCCCCTCCATGGTAAGTAGCGCTCTCTCTCCTCCACCAGAACTCTCTCCTCCCCAGTGTTAACTAGAGCTCTCTACTACCCCAGCACTCACCAGAACACTCTCCGCTCCCAATGGTAACTAGAGCGCTCTCCCCCCCCTCCCCTAGTATAAACTAGAGCACTCCCCTCTAGTATTAACTAGAGCTCTCCTCCCCTCTAGTATTAAATAGAGCTCTCCTCCCCCTAGTATTAACTAGAGCTCTCCTCCCGCTAGTATTAACTAGAGCTCTCCTCCCGCTAGTATTAACTAGAGCTCTCCTCCCCCTAGTATTAACTAGAGCTCTCCTCCCGCTAGTATTAACTAGAGCTCTCCTCCCCCTAGTATTAACTAGAGCTCCCCTCCCCCAGTATTACCTAGAGCTCTCCTCCCCCTAGTAATAACTAGAGCTCTCCTACCCCTAATATTAACTAGAGCTCTCCTCCCCTTAGTATTAACTAGAGTTCTTCTCCCCCTAGTATTAACTAGAGCTCCCCCCCTAGTATTAACTAGAGCTCTCCTCCCCTTAGTATTAACTAGAGCTCTCCTCCCCCTAGTATTAACTAGAGCTCTCCTCGCCCTAGTATTAACCAGAGCTCTCCTCCCCCCTAGTATTAACCAGAGCTCTCCTCCCCCTAGTATTAACTAGAGCTCTCCTCCCCCTAATATTAACTAGAGCTCTCCTCCCCTTAGTATTAACTAGAGTTCTTCTCCCCCTAGTATTAACTAGAGCTCCCCCCCCCTAGTATTAACTAGAGCTCTCCTTCGCCTAGTATTAACTAGAGCTCTCCTCCCCCTAGTATTAACTAGAGCTCTCCTCCCCCTAGTATTAACTAGAACTCTCCTTCCCCTAGTATTAACTAGAGCTCTCCTCCCCTTAGTATTAACTAGAGTTCTTCTCCCCCTAGTATTAACTAGAGCTCCCCCCTAGTATTAACTAGAGCTCTCCTCCCCCTAGTATTAACCAGAGCTCTCCTCCCCGTAGTATTACTAGAGCTCCCCTCTCCCAGTATCAAGCAGAGCTCTCCTCCCCTTAGTATTAACTAGAGCTCCCCTCCCCCCTAGTATTAACCAGAGCTCTCCTCCCCCTAGTATTAACTAGAGCTCTCCTCCCCCCAGTATTAACTAGAGCTCCCCTCCCCCCTAGTATTAACTAGAGCTCTCCTCCCCCCAGTATTAACTAGAGCTCTCCTCCCCCTAGTATTAACCAGATCTCTCCTCCCCCTAGTATTAACTAGAGCTCCCCTCCCCCAGTATTACCTAGAGCTCTCCTCCCCCTAGTAATAACTAGAGCTCTCCTACCCCTAATATTAACTAGAGCTCTCCTCCCCTTAGTATTAACTAGAGTTCTTCTCCCCCTAGTATTAACTAGAGCTCCCCCCCTAGTATTAACTAGAGCTCTCCTCCCCCTAGTATTAACTAGAGCTCTCCTCCCCCTAGTATTAACTAGAGCTCTCCTCGCCCTAGTACTAACCAGAGCTCTCCTCCCCCCCTAGTATTAACCAGAGCTCTTCTCCCCCTAGTATTAACTAGAGCTCTCCTCCCCCTAATATTAACTAGAGCTCTCCTCCCCTTAGTATTAACTAGAGTTCTTCTCCCCCTAGTATTAACTAGAGCTCCCCCCCTAGTATTAACTAGAGCTCTCCTTCGCCTAGTATTAACTAGAGCTCTCCTCCCCCTAGTATTAACTAGAGCTCTCCTCCCCCTAGTATTAACTAGAACTCTCCTTCCCCTAGTATTAACTAGAGCTCTCCTCCCCTTAGTATTAACTAGAGTTCTTCTCCCCCTAGTATTAACTAGAGCTCTCCTCCCCCTAGTATTAACTAGAGCTCTCCTCCCCCTAGTATTAACCAGAGCTCTCCTCCCCGTAGTATTACTAGAGCTCCCCTCTCCCAGTATCAACCAGAGCTCTCCTCCCCTTTGTATTAACTAGAGCTCCCCTCCCCCCTAGTATTAACCAGAGCTCTCCTCCCCCTAGTATTAACTAGAGCTCTCCTCCCCCCAGTATTAACTAGAGCTCCCCTCCCCCCTAGTATTAACTAGAGCTCTCCTCCCCCCAGTATTAACTAGAGCTCTCCTCCCCCTAGTATTAACCAGAGCTCTCCTCCCCCTAGTATTAACTAGAGCTCTCCTCCCCCCAGTATTAACTAGAGCTCCCCTCCCCCCAGTATTAACTAGAGCTCTCCTCCCCCCAGTATTAACTAGAGCTCTCCTCCCCCTAGTATTAACTAGAGCTCTCCTCCCCCCAGTATTAACTAGAGCTCCCCTCCCCCCAGTATTAACTAGAGCTCTCCTCCCCCCAGTATTAACTAGAGCTCCCCTCCCCCCCGTATTAACTAGAGCTCTCCTCGCCCCAGTATTAACTAGAGCTCTCCTCCCCCTAGTATTAACTAGAGCTCTCCTCCCCCCAGTATTAACTAGAGCTCCCCTCCCCCCAGTATTAACTAGAGCTCTCCTCCCCCTAGTATTAACTAGAGCTCTCCTCCCCCCAGTATTAACTAGAGCTCTCCTCGCCCTCTACACATCAACGTTTCTCTGATGTTCGAGGCGATGTACTGAGGTTTTCCAGCTCTTTGATCAGTTTCACAGTGTTTCGTTCTTATTGGATTCAAGCGACATCGTTCGAGTTCCATGTGTTCTTGGGTGTTGCTGGACGGATGTTTTCTCTATGTTTCGTGTTTTCTTCCTGGTGTTTCTCAGTGTTTCGTGTTTGTGTCCAAGTTTAGTGTTGATAAGTAAGGAGTCAGGTGTCCCCCGAGGTCAGGTGTCCCCCGAGGTCAGGAGTCCCCGAGGTCAGGAGTCCCCGAGGTCAAGAGTCCCCGAGGTCAGGAGTCCTCGAGGTCAGGAGTCCTCGAGGTCAGGAGTCCCCGAGGTCAGGAGTCCCCGAGGTCAGGAGTCCCCGAGGTCAGGAGTCCCCGAGGTCAGGTGACCCAGAGATCAAGAATCCCCTAGGTCAGGAATCCCCGAGGTCAAGAGTCCCCGAGGTCAGAAGTCCCCGAGGTCAGGAGTCCTCGAGGTCAGGAGTCCCCGAGGTCCGGAGTCCCCGAGGTCAGAAGTCCCCGAGGTCAGGAGTCCTCGAGGTCAGGAGTCCCCGAGGTCAGGAGTCCCCCGAGGTCAGGAGTCCCCGAGGTCAGGAGTCCTCGAGGTCAGGAGTCCTCGAAGTCAGGAGTCCCCGAGGTCAGGAGTCCCCCGAGGTCAGGAGTCCCCGAGGTCAGGAGTCCTCGAGGTTAGGAGTCCCCGAGGGATACCATGACCTTTGCTTGGTGTTGGGCCTAAGACGTACCAACTGCGGAAGGATTAATATCGTCATGCCAGCAGTTTTCTGACCAACCAGGCAATATGCTTTGGTGCTGAGCACAGTCCATCACTAATGTCGACTCGCCGGGTGAAGCATGAGTGTGTGTGTGTGTGTACCCCTGTGACATGACTCCTCCAGCAGGTGAGCTGTAGCATGGGGTGGCCTCCTGACTCCTCCAGCAGGTGAGCTGTAGCATGGGGTGGCCTACTGACTCCTCCAGCAGGTGAGCTGTAGCATGGGGTGGCCTCCTGACTCCTCCAGCAGGTGAGCTGTAGCATGGGGTGGCCTACTGACTCCTACAGCAGGTGAGCTGTAGCATGGGGTGGCCTGCTGACTCCTACAGCAGGTGAGCTATAGCATGGGGTGGCCTGCTGACTCCTACAGCAGGTGAGCTGTAGCATGGAGTGGTCTACTGACTCCTACAGCAGGTGAGCTGTAGCATGGGATGGCCTGCTGACTCCTACAGCAGGTGTGCTGTAGCATGGGGTGGCCTACTGACTCCTACAGCAGGTGAGCTGTAGCATGGGGTGGCCTACTGACTCCTACAGCAGGTGAGCTGTAGCATGGGGTGGCCTCCTGACTCCTCCAGCAGGTGAGCTGTAGCATGGGGTGGCCTGCTGACTCCTACAGCAGGTGAGCTATAGCATGGGGTGGCCTGCTGACTCCTACAGCAGGTGAGCTGTAGCATGGGGTGGTCTACTGACTCCTACAGCAGGTGAGCTGTAGCATGGGATGGCCTGCTGACTCCTACAGCAGGTGAGCTGTAGCATGGGGTGGCCTACTGACTCCTACAGCAGGTGAGCTGTAGCATGGGGTGGCCTACTGACTCCTCCAGCAGGTGAGCTGTAGCATGGGGTGGCCTACTGACTCCTACAGCAGGTGAGCTGTAGCATGGGGTGGCCTACTGACTCCTCCAGCAGGTGAGCTGTAGCATGGGGTGGCCTACTGACTCCTCCAGCAGGTGAGCTGTAGCATGGGGTGGCCTACTGACTCCTACAGCAGGTGAGCTGTAGCATGGGGTGGCCTCCTGACTCCTACAGCTTTAACAAGATGTTTCAACATATTACACAACTGACAGATCTTCCCTGACTATTATCTAACAAACACATGGTGTAAGGGAACTAAAATATTCAACTTAATTAACTTTGTAGAGGAATATGTTGAGTAAACTGGCAAATATCCATTAAATACATCACTGAATCACCCAGCTATATTAGACTATAGCCATATTCAACACAGATTGATATATTTCCTAATATATCTAATGCATGTCTAATGCGTCTACTAGCATCAGAAATGACAGAAAAGTAATATTACTGTATATATATATATATATATATATATATATATATATATATATATATATATATATATATATATTTATATATATATATATATATATATATATATATATATATATATATATATATATATTGAATTTTATATAAATTCCGATCATTGCTTGTCTTACCGATAACTAATATCTAATTAGTTATTTCCTCTTATTGATAACTAGTATCTGATTAGTTATTTCCTCTTTCGTATTACGTTCAGTAAGATATAATATCCAAGAAATTGGTAAATAAAGAGGGTAAACATACAAATTCGGCTTCAGCAATTAAGGAAGTTAAATCTAATATCGGATAATGCTTTATGAAAATTAGTCGAACACTCGAACACAGATTAATATTGATGACAATCTCAGCATCCTATAGCTCCTTGATGAGTAATGTATCTGAAACCTTGACCAATAGTGTCATGATCACCAAGTAAGGCTCGTGGTATAGACTTCCCCCAGTCAATCGTTGGCACTCTTGGCCTCTTAGTAGTTGGCACTCTTGGCCTCTCAGTAGTTAGCACTATTGGTCCTTCAGTAATTGGCACTCTTGGTCTCCAGTAGTTTGTACTCTTGGCGCTTCAGTAGTTGGCACCCTTGGCCCCTCAGTAGTTGGCACTCTTAGCCCCCAGCAGTTGGCACTCTTGGCGCTTCAGTAGTTGGCACTCTTGGCACTTCAGTAGTTGGCACTCTTGGGACCTCTGTAGTTGGCACTCTTGGCCCCTCTGTAGTTGGCACTCTTGGCCCCTCAGTAGTTGGCACTCTTGGCCCCTCAGTAGTTGGCACTCTTGGCCCCTCAGTAGTTGGCACTCTTGGCCTCTCAGTAGTTGGCACTCTTGGCCCCTCAGTAGTTGGCACTCTTGGCCCCTCAGTAGTTGGCACTCTTGACCCCTCTGTAGTTGGCACTCCTGGCCCCTCAATAGTTGGCACTCCTGGCCCCTCTGTAGTTGGCACTCTTGGCCCCCCAGTAGTTGGCACTCTTGGCCCCTCAGTAGTTGGCACTCTTGGCCCCTCAGTAGTTGGCACTCTTGGCCCCTCTGTAGTTGGCACTCTTGGCCCCCCAGTAGTTGGCACTCTTGGCCCCTCTGTAGTTGGCACTCTTGGCCCCCCAGTAGTTGGCACTCTTGGCCCCCCAGTAGTTGACACTCTTGGCCCCTCTGTAGTTGGCACTCTTGGCTCCCCAGTAGTTGGCACTCTTGGCCTCCCAGTAGTTGGCACTCTTGGCCCCCCAGTAGTTGGCACTCTTGGCCCCTCAGTAGTTGGCACTCTTGGCCCCCCAGTAGTTGGCACTCTTGGCCCCTCAGTAGTTGGCACTCTTGGCCCCTCAGTAGTTGGCACTCTTGGCCCCTCAGTAGTTGGCACTCTTGGACTCAAGTAAATCACAACTTTATGGCGTCTATATATATAGTAAAAGCCTACATTAAACTTCACCAGTTTACTGGGGTGAAATTATAACAGGTATTTACAAAATATACATCACATCAAAGTTAATAACAATGACACTTGTCAATGAAGCTAGAAGTTACTAACTTAAGCATAAACATACTAAGTTAACTTTCATGTACACAGCTTAACAACACGAGTACGTTAGACTTCTTAGATGCTGAAAAGTCAAGACTAATCTCAAGCTCAATTTCCATACAACTTAGGAACATTGGTACACTAGACGGCAGTTGAGGTACAGCCAAGACTGTGGCATAGTTACACTAATTGTGACGTTACTCAATTTATAAGTCTCCATTGAAAAAAGGACTATTCCAAATCAAGGTCTCAGTAGACTCGGCAACATTCACATATTCAGTGCGCTGCAACTTCAAGTCACTAACAATAACAACAACGTGACCGAGACTAAAAACTTTGCCTCAAAAAACCAAGTCCCTCCGGACTGACAAGTTCAACACTCACTGCAAAAATGAAGTCCCAAATGACTTGAAATAATGACTAAGTCCCCACACGGGTAAAAAATATATAACGTCACTGAAACCACGAGATTTTACAAGTCAAACCAATTATATACACTGATAACATAAAATAGATCCATTAAAATCCCTGTCTTAAGTAACCCTACGTGGAAATATAAGATGTTACTACTAAAATGTTGGTTCGGTACCCCCTCTCTCCCTCCCTCTCCCCGTGGTAAGTAAACGCTTATTCGACAAGATATCGCCTTCTGCTTACGCGTGTCCACCTCAAGCTTCAAAGCACTACACAGCTCCGCCCAGACATTCACTACACAGGTCTCCAAGCTGTATTATAGACTACAGGTCACACTAAGCTGCGCCTACAAGCTTGACAAGAACTACCTAAGCCTGTTTATACCCCACCTTACGAAAGTGTCGGTAAATCGCTAATATCACCATCATACGCACTCTTGTTATTGTAGAGTGTAGTGGGGTGAGCCATTATATACACTCGTGTTATTGTAGAGTGGAGTGGGGGTGAGGCATTATATACACTCTTGTTATTGTAGAGTGGAGTGGGGTGAGCCATTATATACACTCGTGTTATTGTAGAGTGGAGTGGGGTGAGCCATTATATACACTCGTGTTATTGTAGAGTGGAGTGGGGTGAGCCATTATATACACTCGTGTTATTGTAGAGTGGAGTGGGGGTGAGGCATTATATTCACTCGTGTTATTGTAGAGTGGAGTGGGGGTGAGGCATTATATACACTCGTGTTATTGTAGAGGGGAGTGGGGGTGAGGGTGTATCCTGCTCACACCTACATTGTATTAGTCATCACTTCAGTGTTTCTTTCATCCACGTCGTTCTGAGGGAGGATGTATGGTGTTTGCCACACATATTCGTGCGTCCCTCAACATGCGTGACTCTGTACGCTCGTTCGTTTTTATGTATAACCATACGAACGTTCGCCATTCTTCCCTCCAATATACATATATACATATCCACCCAACAGTACTTTCGTCCGTGAATTCGTTTGCTTCTACTTGCGTTCGTCCTTTCATTCGTCCCTGTCTATTCCATTTGCTCACCCTTATATTCCCTCTACTCGTAAAGGCCACAGCATTCACACGACCACTGGTCCACACGAAAAAATATAGACACACGAATCTCCGTTTAAAATAGATGTATTTTTCTGGCTTTTAATATTTTACTACTGAGTATATTGTTTCAGGAGTTTTTCTTGGTTATTTATTATTCATTTTTATGCTTTTAACTGTTCAAACAGTTTTAGTGATTTTCGTAACGTTCTCACTGTATTGTTGAGTCTCCCACTCGTCATGTTCTCATATTATCAAAGACATAAATTTTTTATACATTTTTGTCTGATAATTCCGTTGTATTTTATTTGCTTCTAATGCAACCAACATGTTTATTTCCGGTTGATATACTGCTATTTCTATTCATTGCACATACATAGCCAGTCATATTTGTACATTATATATATATATATATATATATATATATATATATATATATATATATATATATATATATATATATGCTCACACCTACATATATATATATGTTGTACCTAGTAGCTAGAACGTCATACTCGGTCCTACTATACAAGGCCCGATTTGCCTAATAAGCCAAGTTTTCCTGAATTAATATATTTTCTCTAATTTTTTTCTTATAAAATGATAGAGCTACCCATTTCTTTATGTATGAGGTCAATTTTTTTTTATTGGAGTTAAAATTAACATAGATATATGACCGAACCTAACCAACCATACCTAACCTAACCTAATCTATCTTTATAGGTTAGGTTAGGTTAGGTAGCAGAAAAAGTTAGGTTACGTTAGGTTAGGTAGGTTAGGTAGTCGAAAAACAATTAATTCAAGAAACTTGGCTTATTAGGCAAATCGGGCCTTGCATAGTAGGCTGAGAAGTGCGTTCTGGCTATTAGGTACGACATTATATATATATATATATATATATATATATATATATATATATATATATATATATATATATATATATATATATATATATATATATATATATATATATTTATATATATGTAAGGTACATGCCCTACTCGACCTGGTACTCAGGTTGACCAGGTACCTATGTCAAACCGGTATATAGTCCTTACTATAAAGAGTAGAATTTTATTTCATTATTCGCAACCGCAGTGCGCAAGGTTTTAGAATATAGAAATAAGAAACATCTGTTTCTAAATGATTTTCTAGTCCTAATTCTTACCAGTCACCCTACAAAGACTGGCGTAGATTGACTAAACATTTTTCTTGCCAGGGTGATGTCATGGGCTTGTCTCTTGTGATTTTTAGGGTTCCCGGTTCGAGTATGATAGGTCAAACGCCTGGTGAACTTGGTCGACGTCATACATATGTAATTAGATTGAAAGTTACAGCCTTAGTAAGAGTAGAATGTGGTATATATGTTCGTCTGACCACCTCCCCCCAACGAAGGATGCCCTCGTGATGCTGGCAGTGGTAATGTGGGTTTTGCAACTAGTTCTGCAATACCTGTTAAGTGCGTCACAAAAAGCCGTAAAAACTGACCCATTGTCACGTAACATCTGGAACGTATGCTCCAGCCTAGCCTAACCATTCAGCCTTACATCGCCATCAGCCTTGCATCGCCCTCAGACTAGCCTCCCCCCTCAGACTAGCCTCACCCTCAGCCTAGCCTCACCCTCAGCCTAGCCTCAACCTCAGGCTAGCCTCACTATCAGCCTAGCCTCACCCTCAGCCTAGCCTTACTCTCAGCCTAGCCTCACCTTCAGCCTAACCTCACCCTCAGCCTAGCCTCATCCTTAGCCTAACCTTACCCTCAGCTTTGCCTCACCCTCAGCCTAGCCTTACTCTCAGCCTAGCCTCACCCTCAGCCTAGCCTCACCCTCAGCCTAGCCTCACCCTTAGCCTAGCCTTACCCTCAGCCTAGCCTCACCCTCAGCCTAGCCTTACATTTAGCCTAGCCTCAGCCTCAGCCTACCCTCACCCTTAGCCTAGCCTCACTCTCAGCGTAGCCTCACCTTCAGCCTAGCCACACCCTTAGCCTAGCCTTACCCTCAGCCTAGCCTCACCCTCAGCCTAGCCTCACCCTTAGCCCTAGCCTCACCCTCAGCCTAGCCTCACCCTCAGTCTAGCCTCACCCTTAGCCTAGCCTCAACCTTAGCCTAGCCTCACCCCTCAGCCTAGCCTCACCCTTAGCCTAGCCTTACCCTCAGCCTAGCCTCACCCTCAGCCTAGCCTCACCCTTAGCCTAGCCTTACCCTCAGCCTAGCCTCACCCTCAGCCGCCTAGCCTCACATTTAGCCTAGCCTCAGCCTCAGCCTACCCTCACCCTTAGCCTAGCCTCACTCTCAGCGTAGCCTCACCTTCAGCCTAGCCACACCCTTAGCCTAGCCTTACCCTCAGCCTAGCCTCACCCTCAGCCTAGCCTCACCCTTAGCCCTAGCCTCACCCTCAGCCTAGCCTCACCCTCAGTCTAGCCTCACCCTTAGCCTAGCCTCAACCTTAGCCTAGCCTCACCCCTCAGCCTAGCCCCACCCTCATCCTAGCCTCACCCTTAGCCCTAGCCTCAACCTCAGCCTAGCCTCACCCTCAGCCTAGCCTCACCCTCAGCCTAGCCTCACCCTCAGCCTAGCCTCACCTTTAGCCTAGCCTCACCCTCAGCCTAGCCTCACCTTTAGCCTAGCCTCACCCTCAGCCTAGCCTCACCCTCAGCCTAGCCTCACCCTCAGCCTAGCCTCACCCTCAGCCTAGCCTCACCCTCAGCCTAGCCTCACCCTCAGCCTAGCCTCACCCTCAGCCTAGCCTCCCACAGTATACTACAGTCAATGTAACTCAATATAACTCAGCACGCCAATAACTAAATAGCAGAGAGAATGGACACAGCAACATAACATTACAAACATGGAACTAAATGAGAAGTAAAAAAATACATGTTAAAAGACTTTGTCATATCATGGATATTTAACAGCTTACGCTCTTTAAGCATAAAATCTTTACGGTACATATCAAGTCCTCTCTTGGAATGTCAAACAATCAACCACTGAGGCCACACTAAAATATATAAATAAATTATTATCAGAGTCAATATTCAGAATGAGGTATTCAGAAAAATACCTCATTCGTTCCTCAGAACGACTATCAGTTGACAAAAATTGGAGGAATGTTACTTGGTTACTAGTTTAAGGCTCCGTTGTCAGTTCACTGACCCTTGTATCCCCTGTTGCTGCTCCTTGCAACAGGGAGGAAGTTGCTGCTCCCTGCAACAGGGGACGTTGTTGCTCCCTGCAACAGGGGACGTTGTTGCTCCCTGCAGCAGGGGACGTTGCTGCTCCCTGCAACAAGGAACGTTGCTGTTCCCTGCAACAAGGAACGTTGCTGTTCCCTGCAACAGGGGATGTTGATGCTGCTCCTTGCAACATGGGACGTCGCTGCT